AGTACCGAATTGAGTTTCTGAAGAAATCCTGAAAAAAATATCTAATTCATTATTTATAGCGTCTATCTATTAGAAATAATAAATGAATCAATATCTTACATCCAAGTCTGTTTGTAAATAATCCACGTAGCATCTCTCCATTTATTTTGATGGTCAATAAGTTCAGCTCGATAACGATGAATTCGATCAGTTTCACCTGTTAATAATCTTGCTTCAAGTTCCGTATATATTTTACGATTTTCAATTATTTGTATATTTAATTCCTATAGAAAAGAAAAGAAGAGAAATTGTTTTAAAATATTGAATTATTTGAAAATATTTACATTTGCTTGTTTTTCTAATTGAGAAGCTGTATCTTCATCAGATAAATGATGAGTTTTATAAAGACGTTCAGAATAATATTTAAATAAATCACGAATCTAGATATATATTCTAATGTAAGAAAAAAAAAAGAAATATTTTTCATAAAAAAACAAACTTTACGAATTCGTTCCATTTCAAGTCCTTCAATTGTTTGACAATAATCTTGAATTTTAGCAAGACGTGGTGGAAGAAGATTATCAAAATGTTCAAATGCACTATCAAATGATTGAATTGTTAAATTTGTAATTACCTAAATGACCAATACATTAAACATTTTAACTTTATCATATAATAGATTATCCTAATTCTAAAAAGGTTGGATTTAACTAATGAGGGAACTACTTGAACTGTAACTCTCCCTTGTCAATCTGTAGGTTTTTTTCTAAATAGATGAAACATACTTTTTGATAAATCATTGTTTGTAGATGATCATCAATTTCTAGAATAAAATGTTGAAATAATTTTCTTTTTAAATTAAAATTCTTTACCATTATCACCATTTTCATAAAAGGCATTACATTCTCGAGTTATTTCTTCTAATTCGTTTATTAAGTTCTACAAAAAAAAAAAGAAATAATTGATTCTTTTTTCTATGAATTAAAATACTTGATTTAATTCTGATATTTTATCTAATAATTCATTCCATAATTGATTAAATTTAATTTGTCGAGTAGCTGCTAATCTTTCAGTAACATTAGCCACATTGTTTTCATCATTTTCAATTTTTTCTATTTTGAAAAAAGAAAATCTTAATTAGTTTTTTTTTCTTTTCTTTTTGTTAGAAAGAAAAAAAAAATATGTAAAACAAACCCTGTTTGATATTATCAGGTAAATTAAAAACTTCTTGTTTCAATTTTTCAAGTTCTTCTTCTTCTTGATTTTGACGTCGTTTTTTTTCATCACGAAAACTAGATTTCAATTTTAGATAAAAAAAAAGAAAAAAGAAAATTTATCTTACAATATTGCTATTGGATTGATGGTTGGATCATTTTCGAATGGTAAACTCGATAGCCATTGTTGTTTTTGATATTCTAGATTAAATATTAATTAATGTTAGGTTCTTTTAAAGTTTTTGGAACACATTTAGATGAAAATTAAACTTGTACATTATAGAAATGAGATTTGATTTTGTGAGAAATGACGTTTACGTTTTTCAAGTCGAACTTTTGTGACTCTCCCTTCATAATAATGGGGAGCGAGAAAGGTCAATGATCATTAGCATAGGTGGCGGAATATTTTGAATCTAGGATAGGCTCAATAATCTTTATGAGATTCTCTCCGAGAAGTTAAGAATAGGGAGGAGGAAACGAGCGAATGTATCTCTACCATTCAAATGTAAGACAGTTCGTAGACAATTTAGATGTATTGCAAAAATTTATCAATCTAATGGAACGAGAAATAAATTTGTGAGCCTATCCTGAACGACGATACCTGAATATAGAGGATAGGCTGAAGCTTAACTAAGTCTTGTGATTCCACCACCTACGATGATTAAGTACGTTTTCATAGTAACAGAGGACAACAGGTATCAGACTCCTTCCCCTGAGTTTCGATCGTCATGTATCCAGTAGATACTGTGTTCAAACATCGGCACCATCAGCTGTAAAATGACGGCTCTCGTGGACGGTCAATGTGTACAGGAAGCTTAAGCGATTGAACACAAGAATCATGCATCAGGCTGGCTTTCTATCAAGGACCACAATTAGTTTTAGTTGTAGGAAAGATATTGAGCTAATGAGTCTGCCGCTTGGTATCACCCTATACCGCCAGGCATGAATATTCTTCCTTCCTTCCCTGAATTTCTTAGTAACAGAAAAAAGTGGTGAACAGCATTACCAAAGCTTCGAATATTCTAAATAGTATAATTTTTGATTTTTGTGCAGATAAAAATTTATATTCAAGATGTTAGGTATAATGGGTAGTCATGCATTGCTTTGCTACGGATGTCATATGACCAACATTAAAAGGGTGAACTCATCAATTTATAATTTTCGAGAATAATCAATATCAGTGGCTTTGAACTTATCGAGATATAGAATAGTACCCTAAAACCTCTTGTAGGCATAATGGATATGTACAACAGACTTCTTTGCCAGTTAAATCAATGATTAGAATCATAATAATTACGAAAATGAAAAACAACAAGGCAAATATAAAAATAGAGCGATAGTAAAAAAATCTATTAGAAATACAGATATAAATAAAATAGATCGTTTCATTTCCAATCGATTCTCCTCTTGCTAAACAACAAAAGTCAGATAGAAAATTTTCGCTTAACATATTTTGTATTAGTATAAGGAAACTAAAGAACACATGTAAATTCCACATTTTAGCCCCAAAGTGACTGTGCTGACAAGGTTTTTTGTGCATTTTCAAGAAACATTTTCTTTCAGTTTTAATCTTTGAAACGAAAATAATCTTTTAATAAAATATTACTTCTTGGAAAGTTATCTTATTCTTTCAAGATAGTAAATCTCATTATAATAATTTTCAATAGAATCTTTGTATATACTTTATTTATTGCAGATCAGTCAATGATTATGTAATACATGGAAAATAGAGTTCCTTCAGCCTAGAATCCATGACTTTGATGAGAGCAAATCAAGTAAGATGGAATATATCTATCTAGCACGTTAGATGAGAGTTTAAGAACATGGTTCTATTGCTCATCAATCATTCATATCTATCGAAACATAGATCGTTTTGAAGAAATAGATTAAAATTTAAGCTAAACTCTATGTATAAAATTCGTTTATGTGTACGACTTACACACAACTCTAGTACATAAATGTTTGAGTAAAATATAAATTGAAAAAATTACCATGTGGTCTAATATTTCGTATAAGTGGTGTAGCATCTGGATGTGCAGCAATGCTAACAGGTTTAGCAAGTTGATTATCTCGTACTCGATTATAAGTGTCACTTAATTGTACCTATTAAAATTAAACATATACAATGATTTCCAAAATTATTCAACTAGGTTTATTTTTTCATTACTGTCAATGCTAATAAGAATTTAAATAATGATATGTGTAAAGAATTTTATTTTCAAAGATGATCTCCAAAAAACTGAACAACAAGTTTCTTTTTTTTTAATTTCTTAAAATTCTATTTGAATTATCCAGAATGATCGAGCAAGAATTGCTTTCTCTATTATTCTGAAAAATTCAAATAGAATTCCAAGAGATAAAACACTTGATATTCAGTTTTTCAGAGATCCTATTCTTGGAAAATCAGCAATCATTTTCAATTTTGATAATTTCTATTCGAAATAAGATTCTCTAAACAAATAAATATTTGGATTGTTAGTAACATTGACGATAATGAAAAAATAAACCTGGTCGAATAATTTTGGAAACTACGCTATATAAATGTCGTAGGAGAAATTAAAATTAAGAAAAATTTTTAATCTTCCTGAACACATAGTATAAACTTTATTATTTTTATATTTGGAAAAATACGAAGATTAAACTAAACATTTATAACAACTGCCACTAGTTACAGTCATTAATCCTGCATTCACATGTTCTTTGCAGACTTGAATGACTACCATTGTTTATAATGTTGTTGAATCGATATCACATGAGTTGCAAAAGTTACTAGCGGATAAATCCAACAGATCCTGTGGTTTTTAAGCTAGTACTACCCACATTTTTTTAATTAAAAATCGAAAAATTGATATTTTTCAAAAAGCTTAAAAAAATATCTCTGAGATTTTGTCTCAGATACCCCCAGAAAAAAAGTTCAGCTCGATTAGACAATGTAAGACCGATCGTTTTTGAAGATCCCTGAATATCTGCTTTGAAAATTTTTTCCTCGAATATGAGGTCGACTAGTTCTACTCTCGCGGAGAAACAAAAGATGCAGAAGTATTCCTTAAGTAATGCACGCAAGCATTTATTTTGTTCTAATCTTCAATTGGACATAAAAGATATTGTAATTTTTCCTATAGAAAAAAACTAAAATATGAACATGTTCAGGAATATTTAAAAATTATCCTATCGGAAAAAAACAACTGAAATTTGTAAATTTTCCTAAATTTTAATTTCCTTTTCTAAAACACACAAAAACAAAAAATATTTTTGTATGAATTTTTACTTGTGCATCAAATAATTGTCGATAAACTTTATTATTTGGTAAAATTCGAACAGCAGCTGTAGCAGATGATGTATCCATATTGTATTTAATTTATCGATTTCAAGAAACAAACATATGTCCTTCATATTCACCATTAGAAAAACTTTAAATTCTGTTACTAAGCAACAATCTCTATTTTGCCGATGAATCATATCTGTTTTGCTTTTTTTAGAGGTTGTATTATTCATAATAATGGTTGCTATCAACCGATAGTAATTTATCGTTTTTTCTCTTTTTCTTTTTTTCTCCTTCCTTGTTCTTTCGCAAGGATCAATGTTCGTACTTGGTATATACACTTTTATGCATATATATATATATATATATGTATGTTTTTATGCAAATGAGGGCATCATACTCAAGTCTAGTTGATAAACGATCAGTAGATTTGCCTTGATAAAAAACCTTGTAGTTACAATAATTTTAAATAAATTTTCTAATCGATTTTTCTTTTTTTTCTTTTTAGATTTCCCCATCCCCGGTGATTCATCGGTTGCGTAAAAATGGAAATTGATTTTGCTCCATCACATAATTCAACATTATTTAGTTCATTATCAGTATCACCACCAACATCAATGTTCGATTCATTTTCACCATTACTTCATTTAAATGATGATTTTTTGGATGTATTAAATTCAACAAATTCTAATGATGATGTTGATGATTGGATGAAACCATTATTATTTGATCAATTACTTGAACAGGATATACAACAAAATTTTCTTAATTTTAATGATATTGATATAAAAGAAGAAACACAAGATAAATTAAAATTAAATAATTATTCTCAATCACAATCAACAATACAAAAGAATGATTTAATTGACTTTTTAAATCAACAAACATTTGAACAACAATTACCACCATCATCATCAACAACATCAACAACAACTGTTCGTGTAATACATCAAGCAAAAATTGAGCCAACTGAAATACCAACAACATTATATGTAAGTGGAAATGAATTACAATTTCATCCACTTGTTACATCAAATAATAATGGAAAAACAATTGGTCATACATTTACAAGTAAGTAAATATCTTTATATATATATATATTTTTTCTTAAGATAAATGTAAACTTTGAGTACATATATTGTATAATTTTCTAAAATTTGGATGAAAATCTCATAATTTTGTTCATTTTTTTTTCTATTATTGAATTATTATAAATAGTTCTTATCTTTTTTTTTTTCTTTTGTTTTCAGCAACAACATCATCACCAATTCCATCAGTACCCATTCAATCATCATTACCTATTGTACCAGCACGAGTATTAAAAGGAAAAAAATTCAAACGGGGTGGTCGAGTTACATCACGAGCGTAAGATTTTATTTTATTTTTGTTTCAAACAAATTCAATATGATTGTTTCTTAGAACATCTAGAAATAGTGCAGCTGCTAAACGACGATTAAATTCTACAGGAGCAGGTAAAATAGATTTTTTTTATAACCCGACAATAAAATAACAAAATTTCTTTTTGTATCTCTTTGCTTTAGAACCCAAAGCTAGTGTTGTTATAATTGCTGAAGATGCAACACGAATAGATTCTAAAACAACTACATTAGGTTTAAGTTCAACAAGTAGTAATGATACAGATCTATTAAAAACATCTTCATCAACAAGAACACGTTCAACAACACGTCGTCGTATAAAATCAATACCACGTGAAGTTATTCTATTTCGTAATGGTACATTTATATCAAAAGAACCTATATCAAAACAACAAACATCAACAACATTAAGTTTTGAAACAACATCAACAAATAACAATAATTGTCACCCATCACCACCATTACATCAACAACAAATAACAGCAACAGGATTACAAGCAGCTGCACAAATCGTTGCCTGTAATGTATTACGACAAGCAACATTAAATGGTAAAAATTTACTATTATCTTAGATTTCATTTTCAATAGATTAGAAAGATAGAATATGAAATTCTGTTTATTTATTTGTTTGATGAAAGCAAAAAAAAAAAAATAAATAAAAGAAAATTCTTAGGTGATAACTATGTTAATCATAATTTTTTATGGTGTTATAAATTTAATATAAAAACTATAACTGTATATCAACGTACCGTTTCCTGTTCTACTAAATGACATAATGATCATGATTATCAATTAATTTATTCAAGGTTAGACAGGTGCGACATTGCACCTGTATGACCCAACCGAAACTAAAGGATAGGCGCAACCATTAAGTCATTATGTAGAATATGAAAAACTAGGTCAATTTTTATAATGAGTTTACAAAAATAAAAATAATATGCAAAAGTGAAATCTGATAGAGTGATAAATTTACGCTCTTTATACACTAAAAAATATTGTTTTTTTTTTTTTGTCTATTAGATGCATTAATCGAACAATTAATAAAACGTGAACCAACAAATACGGATGATGATTCACCAATTTATTGTTATTCAACTCCATCTTTGTCATCACCATCATGTACAATGACAACGGCAATGGATGAATATGAAAATAGTTGTTCGACAACATTAAAAATTCTTGGTTGTAACACAACTGCACCATTAACATCAACAAATACTACAACAACAATTGAATTACTTACATTTGCTGCTTTACAACAACGGCAACAACAACAACAACAACAACAACAACATCAATATTGCTATATTAAACAAGAACCAGTCACAACAACAACAACAACGACAACATTTCTACTACCTCGATTACTTCCATAGTGAATGTATGAGTATGTGTGTAGGTCAATTTTTTTGTGATAATAAACAACATAACAGTAGCTACAGCTAACGGTTTATACGAAAAGAAAAAAGAAAAAAATGATTTTCTTCTTTTTTTCTTGTTTGTTTGTTTGTTTTGTCTGATTTTCTATGTTTTTTTTTCATTGTTATTGTTTATGTTATTTCAGTCTATCAACACACGTAGGTATGTGTTTGATTTGATTGAAAATCATCTTTACTGTTATAACTGTATTACTGTAGCCATCTGTTTTTTATTTGGCTATTATTGTTGTTGTTTATTGTTGTTTAAAACGAGAAAAAAAAAATATCAACTGCAGGGACAGTCATTAAATTATTTTTTTCTCTCTTTCTCTTTGTTTAATATTTTTTATTCTATGAGTTTGAGAAAGAAATTTAAAAAAAAACGAATGGACACTGATATATATGAGTTAGCATATTGTATATAAAATTCTTCAAAAATATCAAGAGTTTGAAAAGTAAATCTGAGTTAATTTTCCATTTCAGTCTAAACTAAAACTCATAATCTAAAATTGGCTAATGAAATTTTTGATAGTTAATTTTAAATATACAAAATGAGATAGTACAAATTTTTGTTTATTGCTAATCATGAATTTCTATGTAGAAACAATACAAATTAATGAAGAGAATTATTTTCTTACAAAACATATTTCAAAAAACAAAAACAAAAAAATTTAATTTTAATAATTATCTTATTTTTTTTTATGATTATAGATGTGAATTTCATCATCTGATGATTTTATTCTTCTTTTACTTTTTTTTGTTTTTAATCAAAGCAAAACAAATGAGTAAGTCATATATATATGACATTGTACGAATAGTGGATCATTTAGAAAATTTCAAATAAAAAAAAACTATCATTTATATATTTAATTGACAAAATAAAGATATTTTATATTTTCGATATAAAGATACAAATGTTAGAATCAAACAATAAATTGAATGTGAATATAAAAGAAAAAAAAACATATTTCTTTATTCCGATTAAAATAAAACATAGCTTACAAGTAAAAAGAAATTCGATCTTAAGCAAATATTTTTTTTAAAAATCTATACTGGCTTTATAAACTTTTACTTGATTATATGTATAAAGTTATTACAGTTATTCATGAGTCTCTATGACAAAGATCATGAAAAGTATCAATTATTAAACCAAAAATTCATAATTTTTCTAAAATATTTTCATTAATAATTCATCAAACAACAACAACAACAAACATATTTTTTTTTTCAACAATGAGAGTGAGTGTAAAACGACAAGTATCGATAAAGACTACTTTTATCGCCTACGAAATTTGTCAAAAAAAAAGAAGAATGACCTATTTTGAGTAAAATTGAAGTGCTTTCTTTTTCTGTCGAAAAACAACTTTCGTTTTTTCATTTTTCATTTTATCTTTTTTTTTTATGCACGTGTAAGAGACTCGAGCATCATGGGAAAGTTTCTTTTTCTAAATTTATTGAGTCATACATCATCCAATCTAGAATCTAATACTGATTTCTTGATTATTAGGTTACAATTCAAACACAATGGAAATTTGATCGAGGAAAAAAAAAACTTATTTTATTGTAAAGTGCTAGTGTACGGTCGTGTTCAGTTGTTGTTATCAGTTGATCTATCAAGGTCATTAAGTGTAGAATATGCAGGTTGTATATGAAATCACCAATCAAGTTGAGTGAAAAATATATGTAGAGATGACTTTTAAGATATGATAAACATGACATCAATATCGAAAACTTCAGAGACTATAAGATTTTATCGGCTTATTTCTCAAAAGATCTAATCGACAAATTTTTCTCTTGCTTTAATTTCATACTCGAATAGAATTAGACAAATTCGCACGATCTATACACGTCTCACATATATCATTATTGTTTAAGATTTGATCAAAGTGCTTCGAAAACATGTTTTTTCCTAGAATTTGACTTTAGAACTATTCGAGCATCTGCTTTGAATCATTTTGTTTTTTATAATTCTGATCGGGATACACGATCTGTATACTTTACACTTAATGACCTTGCTAGATCAGCTGAAAACATAAACTGGACATAGCCCTTCACTATCATCCTATGGTAAAACAGATTTTTTTTCTCAATCGAATTTCCATTATATTGGAATTATAACCTAATATTTAGAAATAGTATGAAATTCTACATCGGATCATGGGTAATTCAGTAAATTCTAACGGAAAAGTACTCAGAACGTCATGCTGATTCAAAATTAGTCAATATTGTGAGAAAAAAAAAGGATCTTATCAATAGTTATCTTTTAATGTTTGCACAATAGAAAAGGGTTATAAGTATTTTAATTTTCATATTTTGTTATCTATTCTTCAGATCATGTCAAGAAGTGAATTTGAAAATTTGAAAATCAACTGTGAGAAAATTGTCTTTCTTCGAAAATAAAAACATTGATTTAACTCCATTATTAAATCAAAGTTTAGTTTCAAATACAAATTTAGACTCTAATTTACACATCAAAGACTTTCTTGCACATTTATAATCTAATAAATAGGAAATATATTTTTTTTTTAAATAAAAAAGTTCATTTTCTATTTTTAGATTTCATTATAAATGTTTCTTGTTATTATTTATTTATATATTTGATATTTAACGTAATTATTCCATGTTCCATCCTCGAAATGTAATTGATGATGATAGTGATTATGATGATGAAACAGGTATTGAAAAAACAAAGACATTTTTTAGTAAAAAAATCAAATTTTTTGTTTTTTTATTTATTTTCAGTTAATTCAAATATTTCCGATAAAATTCGTTCAATTATTAAATATATATGTAATTATATATGGAGTATAACTTTTATATTTATTATTTTTATTATGTATGTATCTATTCGTGGTCCATTCAATATTATAAATAATTTTAATGCCGGTAAACATTTTGAAATGGAAATTCTTTAGTATTAATTTACTAAAGCTTTTATGTTTTTTTTTTGCCTAAGTAAGAAATGACGAATAACTATAAAAAGACTAATGGAATATGAAAAAAACTAGTTTTCCTTATTTTTGTTCTTACTTTTAGTAATGCGAAGAAGAAAAAAAAACTAGAATAGTCCATGAATCATATGCTCTTTTTTCTTTTTCTTTTTTTTTTGCTTCTTTTTCCACTCTTGCTAGACGTTGACAATGTGACCGTTTCTTGTCACATTACCGGTGACATACGTCTATATAATTGAACAGTTGTGATGTCTATATATACGGACTTTTTTTTTTTTCTTCGTGCAAGATGAACTCATCTTAATGGAAACGGGAAAGAAGAACAAACGAGACCAAAAAAAAAAGAAGAGAAACCCAATGAAGAGTTAGAAAGAAATTCATTTCTTTTTCTTTCCTTTCCCGACTATTTTCCCATCTATTGAGAAATGGAAGGAAGAGAAAAAAAAAGAATATGCGTCTTGTTCTTCTTTCATTCTCGTTCTGTCTGTCTGTCTGTCTTTTTCTAGATATATATCTGCGTTGCTGCTGCTCTACGCTCTCTCATGTATCTATAATATTACACTGCACCATCACACACATACAGGCACATCTTTTTTTTTCTCCTCCTTTTCATTCTCTCGGGTGGCTTTTCACTATTGTATGATTATTCGCAGCAAACATGCTAAACGTCATCTTTTGTAAGTTTTTCTTTATTTTTTTTTTGTTGTTGTTGTTGTATTGCTGTGTTGCTATGTGAGTTGTTTTTCCAATTCAAGGCATTTTTTAATTCATATTTATATATATATATATATATATATATGTAACCATTGTCTATTGATAAGAAAAAAAAGACTCTATTTTCTTTATAATTTCTGTCTCTAGTTTTTTTTTCTTCTATCTAGCAACAATGTTTTTCAATACTTTAACACCAAAATTTTATGTTGCACTTACTGGTACATCATCATTAATCTCCGGTCTTATTTTAGTAAGAAAAAAAAAATATAAAAATGATTTGTTTTTTATTTAAAGATAATTTTTATTTTTGTTATTATTAGATATTTGAATGGTGGTATTTTAAAAGATATGGTACATCATTTATAGAACAAGTATCTATAAATCATTTAACACCAATTTTAAATGGTAGTGAATCAAATAATTCTTCACTAACAAATAATGATTTATCATTACCATCATCATCATCATCATTAATGAATGGTTGTAATAATGGAAATAGTTGTAGTAATTCAATGGGAAATAGTTGTTTATCAAATGGTATTGATTCAACAACACCGGTGACTGGTACAAATGAATGTAAAGTATGGAAAAATCCATGTGCATTATTTCGTGGAGCTGAATATCAACGTTTAACACAATATAATGGTAAAGAACCATTAACATTTCATGATATGAATTTATCTGCTCAAGAACATCAAACATTTTTTTCTTGTGAACTTGATGAAGGAAAACCTGAATATGACAGTGAGATTTACAAATGTTATTCTATTTTGAAAAAAAACAAAACTAAGATTTCTATTTCTTTATAGTGATGCAACGTGCATGGCGTGAACGAACACCATCAATACGTATTCAATTAGCTCATGATGCATTAGAAAAAAATTCTGAGTAAGAAGATCTTTTAACGACTAATTCAAATTCTAATCTTCTTTTCTTTTTTTGTTAAATTAGATGTACACCAGCATTAATCCTTCTAGCTGAAGAAGAAGCAACAACAATAATTGAAGTTGAACGTATATTAAAACAAGCATTAAAATGTGCAGAAAATGCTTATAGAAAATCACAACAATTACTTGAACAAGGTCATAATCAAGATATTGTACATAGTAAGAAAAAAAAAAAGAATTTAATTCTTTATTATTATTATTTCATTATATATATATTTTGTTTTTATAGAACGTAATACAAATATATTAATTTATGTTAAACGACGTTTAGGAATGTGTGCAAGAAAATTGGGTAAATTACGTGAAGCAACGAAAATTTTTCGTGATCTAGTGAAAGAATTTCCGATGATGTCAGTTTTTAATATACATGAAAATCTTATTGAAGTTTTACTTGCACTTCAAAATTATCCAGATGTACAGGGCGTACTTGCCAAATATGATGGTTAGAATTTTTACAATTTTGTCTTGGTTGTTTTTTGTTTTTGAACATTTTTCTTTTTTTGTTTTTTTAGATATTAGTTTACCAAAATCAGCTACTATTTGTTATACAGCTGCTTTACTGAAAGCTAGAGCGGTTGCTGCCACGTAGGTTTGTCATAGGTTGAGATTAAAATTTACTGTTTTTTTTGACAAATTAAAACAGTAAATTGAAAAGGAATAAATATTTTTATTACAAACTTTCGAAAAAAAAATAATTGAATGTAATTTAATGGAAGAAAAAATTCAAAAAAAGAAAAATTCTACATTGCAAATAGATTTGTTTTGTTTTTTCCCTTTGTTTGAAGTCATAAAACAATTATTATTTTAAAATAGATTTTCACCCGATGTAGCAAGTAAACGTGGTTTAACTGCAACAGAAATGTCTGCTGTTGAAGCAATACATCGAGCTGTAGAATTCAATCCACATGTACCTAAAGTAAATAAAAAATAGATTTTTGATTATTTAAAAGCATTATTTTTTGTTTTTGATTTTAGTATTTATTAGAAATGAAAAGTTTAATATTACCACCTGAACATATTCTTAAACGTGGTGATTCAGAAGCAATAGCTTATGCTTTTTTTCATTTACCACATTGGCGTCGTGTTGAAGGTGCATTAAATTTATTACATTGTACATGGGAAGGAACATTTCGTATGATACCATATCCATTAGAAAAAGGACATCTATTTCATCCATATCCAACGGTAAAAAAAAAGAAAAAAAAATATATATATATAAACCAAAACAAAATAATTTTATATATTCTATATTTAGTGTACCGAAGCAGCCGATAGAGAATTATTACCTGGTAAAAAAGAGACACCTATATTTTTTTAAATTAAAATATATTGTTTATTTTTATTTTTAGCATTTCATGACGTATCTGTTTTTCCGAAAAAAGAATTACCATTTTTTATTTTATTTACTGCTGGTTTGTGTTCAGGCACAGCTATGCTTGCTTTGCTTACTCATCAATATCCAGAAATAGCTGCTTATATAGCTCGTCTTTTTCTTAATTGGTTCAATGTACCTATACAATATTTGACGGATAAAATTGAATCAATACTTCCGTCGAATCTCTTTCAACAATTGGCAAAAATTTGATAACTATTTTTTTTGTTTTTTTCTTTTTTTGTCAATTGTTATAATGATCTCACCTATATGTACACGTGTGTGTGTGTGTGTGTCGCTCTATTTTGTTGTTTTTTTTCCTCATTCTGTATGTGTGCATGTTTGTTCGTTTCTCTTTTTTTGTTTTTTGGTGGTTGACGATGTGTATTGATGCATCGAAAAAATAAGAGAAAGAAAGACAAGAGAAAACAAAAATAGATTTTTGTTTCTACTCGATTAACTGCATATAAAGCTTAAACTCAAAAATCATCAGTCTTTTTTTTTTTCTTGTCTTAGATAAATTATATCGATGGAAAATATTACTGAAAATATTGTTGAAAAAGTCGAATTGGCTGCAGATGTTGGTATTAAAGTTGCCAATGTAGTTAGCAATGCATTTGAAGCAACTGTTGCTGATACAGATCATTCAGCAGGTGCAGAAGAAGGTACATTGATGAACTATTTTACATCATTTGGTATTCATATTGCTATGGTTATTATTGTTATTCTTCTCAAATGGCAATATGGTATGAAATAAAAAAATTTAATTGTTTCAGAAAAAAACAATTCTTTATGTTTTGCTTTGTTTTGTTTTTTAAGATCGTAATCGATATCGTTATCCAAAAGGACCACGTGATTGGCGAAATATAAAAGATGCTATATCATTTCATAGAAAAAAACGTGAAAATTTACTTGCTTTAGCAACAGATTATCCTGATTCATGTACAGTTATTACACATGTTGGTCGATTAGTTTTACTTAATGACCCAACACTTATTAATGAAATTTTTATTGGACGTGCTGATTTAGTTAGTAATAAAGTTGATGGATATTTAGAAAATCAATTACGTTATAAAGAAGGAAAATTTATTCGTACAGGTAAGAAAAAAAAACACACTACCTTTTTTTGAAATATTTTAATATTCATTTGTTGTCTTGATGAAATACGACTTAAAAGGAGTGTTGAACTGTTTTTTTTTATTGCATTTCTCGAGGATAATAAAGATTTAAGAGTTTCGAAATTATCAACACATGAGAAAGAATTTCCTAGGAAACTTTGGAAATTACTGAAGGCTCAAAAAAGAAATTCTAAGAATTATAGAGAGATAACCGAAAATTCTTGTAGGAAAATGAATCGAAGCTTCCTTTTTTAGAATATATATGGCTTTTTGCAAAACGACCAAAGTTTTGCAGATTTATCATAGGAAATGTCGACTCTACTACCATGTTTTTGGAGAAATTTTTAGTCGTTTTTTTAAAATTTTTTCTATTTTGGAAAAACTGCGTTGTCACGTGCATTAGCATTAAATATCACATTTTTATATTAACTGACAGATGGCGTTAGCTATCTTTATCTATTACATGCTTTACAACAGTCCACTGAAGTGTATTGAAAATATGCAATTGTAACATGATTTTGTCTGGATTTGAATGAAAAAATCCATTCTTTAGCGTTTTTCTCATGAAAAATTGAAACAACTTCAATGCGGCTCAGGGTATAACCGATGGTTTTTTTTGCTTTAAAGGTCTTAATCAGAAATAACTTTTCTCATCGAATGGATTTTTCATACTTGATTCCTGGACTGAGAAAAGTGAAATTTACTGTCGAGAGAGTCACCTTCTTTTTTTATGCTTATTTTGAACACTATGTCCACTAAAATCCTCATAAAAAATGAATGGAAGGAAGTTTCAAAGTTCTGTTCGATGAAAAGTTGGACACAGAGGTTAACTTCAATTTGAGACCAGTCCGAGCTCTGTACCCTTTCTAACAACGGAATTATTTCGATTTTCCTGCAAGCTATAAAAAACAAGCCGGAAGTTCAGTTTAGTAGGGTATATTAGACTGAAATTTTTATCACACGTGTTTTTCACTAGAACGATTCATTTCTGAAAATTTCACCCCAAACAGTCCGTTCTAAGTGGTAAATCAATTCTGAGGAGCCTGCTTGCTAAGCAGATATATAGTTCTTAACAAGCAAATTTTATTTTTCTTGATATGACACATAGGTGAGTATACGTAAATTTTTTTGTGTCCTGAATTTTTGTGTTAATCTATTTAATATTTAATTATTGAAAATCAACTTTTTTTTTTGTTTTTTTCTTTGAAAAATAGGTATTGTCTTTCGTCATCAAGATCATAATGCTCGAATAGTTCATAAAGCTCTTGTACAACAGCTTGATAATAATCTTATTGGTAAACATCTTGATTCATTAGTACAAGAACAATTAAAGCAAATGCGTCTTTCGGAAACATTTGATGTTCGTCGTACAACATTTTATTTTGGTGTTCGTCTTTTAATATCACTTACATGTTCATCAACTATGTCATCAATTGATGATAAAGCATTTGAATTATTTGAACAAAATCTATATAAAATTTCAAAAGTTATTCATGAAGATACAATTGAAAAATCTGCTAAAATTGCAATAACACAATTAACTGGTTTATCTGAAACATTAGATATAAATGAAAATGTTTTAGATTATATTAAAACATGGATTAAATATCGACATAGTGATATAAATCGTACTGAAGATACAAATAATGAACAAATAGTAACATCAACAACAAAAACAAATGATTTTCTTCAAGCAATTTTAGATATTATCGATCAATCAGTACCACGTTTAGATGAAGATGATATAGCTGCTTGTGTACTTGATATAATAATGCATGGAAGTGAAATGCTTAAAGGTGCTTTATCATGGCTTCTTCTTTATACAGTTAAATATCCAGAAGAAGCTGATACATGTCGACGTGAAGCACGGTAATATAAATATTGCAAAAAAAAAATTTCTTTTTACTTTTTTTTGTTTTTTTGTCAATTCAATAGAGATAATGGTTATTCTACATTTAATCTTTCATCAGCTGAAACTCTTCGTCAAACACAAGCATTTGTTAAAGAAGTTTTACGTTTATCACCTGTTGTACCTATTGTTATTCATTCAACATTACAAGATTTTAAATGGCGTAATTTTCATATACAAAAACGTACATTATTTGGAGCTAATGTATTTGCATTACATCATTCAATTGCATGGAAAGAATCAACAAAATTTGATCTTACACGTTGGCTTGAACAAGATGAATCAACAATTCCAACTCATAGTTATGCACCATTTGGTTTTGGTCCACGAGCATGTATTGCAGAAAAATATTTATTTAATTTATTAACGGGTATTTTTGCTGTACTTTTATATCATAATAATTTTGACAAAACTGGTTCATTACCTGAACCAACTGAAGGTACATTTGGTTTAGCTAATATGCCACCGAAATATTCACTTAAAGCTACACCTCTTAGTACACGTTCATAAATATATATGTGTACATATATATATCAAAACATTCTTGCTCCACGTTTCTTTTGTCTTTTACTTTTATTCCAGCAGTTTTGATTACTTTAAACTAGCAACTATATTTCTTTTTTCTTTGAGAGATTTTTTTTTTTCTTACATATTTAATCTTGCTACTTGTATCGCCTTTTTTCCTATTGATACTATTGAAAACAATGTTAAAATTTGATATGAAAAGCTTTTTTTTTTTATATAATTGATGTATTGGGATTTTGAATAAAGAAAAGAAAAGAATAATTCAAGGATAAAAGTACATTAAAGATGAGAAAGGTAAAATTTTAAAACTTCTAGTATTTAGTATTATCCATGTCGTCAATTTTTCGTCAAAGCCGACGATTTAAACGATTTATTCCTTTTTTTTTTAATTATTTTTCTACTAAATTGATATTTTCTATCTTCATGAGATCGATAGCTACTCAAAAAAGTCGATTTCAATATGTTACACATTTTCCTATTGATTAAGTCTTCTGATTCATGATTATTTTTGTGGTACCATTTTTGATAAATAAATGAAACTTGAAAACTAAGCAAAAACAGTCGATATGGTTGCACAGGAGGTAAGAGCGCGTTCACATTCATGAGAAGACGCAGTCTCTACTGGAATCTAACATTCATGCAGTGAGAAGATATTAAAAGACTGAAGCAGAAAAATCACGGATAATCTACAGTTTTCCGGCAATTCGAATATTTTAGGTTATCAGAAGGACGAGATTGCCGAAAAAATGACAAGTGATAATGCGCAGAAGGCGGAGGTTCTGTATATTGATGATATTAGCAATGGAAAAAAAAAATCTTGACATCTATATATTTACTTAATAACGCTATCTAGACATTTTTCTCGCTCTTTCTCACACACACATCAATGGGCAAACAAATCGTTTATATATCGAATGACGTAAAAGAATAACAATGATACTAGCTTTTATTATTTATGAGGGTGTGGGTGTGGAGTGTAGATGTGATAGAATAGTAACATTTAGACCCACACCCACATTCATCCACACTCTATTCGTAATTGTTTTTCATGAAAACTTTATGATGAAATAAAGTTTTTTGAACGGTAGGGTGCAATGTTTTTTTTTTTTGATTAACTTCATATAAAAATCCTAGAAAATGGTTTAGTATTCAATAGATATTGTTTTATTCTCCTTCACATGTATAAAAATTAATTTTTTATAATTGCAGCGATATAGTAAACTGCCATGATGAACAGATGAAATAAAATTTTTTTTATGAACCACTACTCATGTGAATTGTACAAGAAAAAAATTAACTATTTACTAATTGTAGTGATTTGTCCATTCATTCATTTTTCACATGTACCTTTCATTAAAAGAAGACTATCAAAGAAAATATTTTTTTTTTTATTAAAAAAAAAATTATTGATATAATCATTAAAATTCAACGATTAGTTCATTGTACTGATGTACATATAATACAATAAATTATTGATGTTTTAATCGAATTGAACAGAAAAAAAATCTATAATAATTAATTTATAAGTCATTTATTCAACAAAAAAAAGATATTTTCCCAAATTTCTACTATTAGATTGTTAAATGACCTATCACAGATATATTTGACGCTTGCATCACTGTTGTTACTGATGAAGTTACTTGTTAATTGTAATTGTTTGTAGGGTAAATAGGTTCACTGAATAAAACTTTTTTTTGGCTTTTAGATATTTTTCTTATTGGGAATGTTTTTGTGATGAAAATTATAAAAAAGTTATTAATGATAACTTAGAAAAACACCCAAGGTATTTTTTTTCTAGATACCACGAAGTCATTAATAGAAAGTGTGCTTGCTAATTAAAGACAAAGCTTTGTAATGCAGGAAGTAATACTAGAGCTATGAAATTACTCATTGTTGCTGTTGAAATCATTTGATGATGAACTTTTAAAGGCTCCTTGCTACATTGCCTTTTTTTTCAAAATGATGCCGTTTGATCTCAAAACTCGATTTCATTTTTCCATCCCATCCCCATTGGTTCTCAAAAAGGATGAATTCTCTTCAGTCTTCAATTTTTCATCATCAAATTGATTGTTTTATTCATAGATTATCAAAAATTTCTGGTATATTTTTGCATTGTTGGTCTCTTCGGTGTGTTATTACAATAAGACCAAGGATTATTTATACTTTTATTTATTCTTAGCAAAGAGAAATAAATTCACTCATCAATTACATTTAATAACACACTACTATTACTTCTTTGTCTTTAACTTCATATGTCCACCATTACTCTTCATCTTATCTTCCACCCGTCGCTCACTATCTTTGTTCTTAATTACATTAGGGTGATTAGCTGACAATGCTGCATCGTAGATTGTCTGCGCTCTTCTCTAACAATGTCAATGTTCGTTCCAACTCACCCATTTCTTCATACACAAGACCCATGTTCGCGTAGGTCATTGCAATATTGGAATGTTGATCAGGAAGTGACTTCAATCTGATTTCAAGTGATCGATTGAAATACACCAATGCGAAATCATATTCACCGAGATGATAATGAACACTTCCAATGTTGTTGTACGACCTACCCAAATCAGAATGATCTGCTGACAGATGCTTCTCTTGAATAGCAAATAACTTTTCATAGAAGTCGAGCGCTTCTAAATACTTCCGCTATTCCTGATAGATGATACTAATGTTGTTGTAAAACATGCCCATCTTCGGATGATTCTCATCGTGTGCTTGTTTGAAGAGTGACACAACTCGATTGTATGATTCAAGTGCTCGACTAAGATCACCTTTCTTTCGATGTGCCTCACCAATGCTACTGTGTGTGACGCGAATCCCTACATGATCGAATGGGCGAGTTCGCATCTTCATCTCGAGTGATTTCTGGTACTATTCGAGACTTTTGTCATACTCACTTTTCGCATAAGCAACTATACCAAGACGATGATACAATAGAGGGAGTATGGGATCATTTGATGGAAGTTCACTCAGCAATCGGCAATAGTACTTGTCAGTCAGATCGAATTTTCCCATTCTCCTTAACACATCACCAAAAGAGAGAAAATTCGTTTCCTCTCCATAGTATTCGTTCTTCATGTGATCATAGAGTTGTCTGAGATCGTTGTCATGATCACTGCATAATGTCACTCGAAAGATCGAACCGAGCATAAAGAATACTTCGTACTAATCATCAATATCATTTCTCTTCATAAACAAACTGTTACTTTTGACGAGATCTGACCATTCAAGAATCAAGATTGATTTTAAAATCAAATCGAATGACTTGATTACTATACATCATAGATGATTTGTTTTATCAACGCATCCTGTTGAAGTAACGTTGTAAGATGAGCATTTCCAATAAATGAAAAGATTTGTAACAAAGATTCTTAAGAAGATTTCTAATTTAGCACTTGTTTACAAGTGCCTTTACAAAACATATACTATATTCATACGTTGCTCTTTGCTTCAAATAATTCTTTTTTTCATATGATACAAAGAGAGAATAATAAAGCAACGTTATGCTCTCATTGATACGTACTGTCACTAACTGAAAGAAGTTTTACTCTATAGTTTATATGAGAATACTGTTTAATTTCGAACATCAAATATGACAGCATAAAAAGAAACAACAAAAACATTCTACTAATTTCATCAAGTAAATCTTTGACTATTTTCGTAAAATGTGAACTTGTTGTCGATTACAATCTTTACTCGATCAATCAAGTAAAAAGCTTGCTACCTCAAGTATATGTGTATTCTTTGGAATAATTAATGGTACCTAGAGTGCTGATACGATTATTTCTCATCACGCAAAACATTCTTGATAAAGAAGCAATCAGTCTCGTGGCAGGATTTATCTCCAATGATTGCTTTGTTTTATATTAAATATACAGAAAGTTGACTATTTTTCGTGATGAAAACGATATCAGACTATGTAGTATTTGGGTGTGGGTGTGGGTATGGATCTTCTCTTCAACAGAACCCACATCCCCACTCACACCTCACCCAATGACAACTACTCTGTTGTTTGACTATTTACAGACGATCTATTCGAAAAAAGGATTGTTAAAGGTTGTCATCAGCGGAAATGAAAAATCATTGAACAATCTAACACTGTTGCCTCACTTAAAATTGACTTCCGACATTGTTTGAAGAGTAATCTCATTAGAGACCAAAACGAATAGAAAAACTTCAATTCGTACTCGACTCTTGGTCTTTCGCTGAAACTTGGCTAGAGATAAACGAAAATTTGTGAAGATTGGAAAAGGGATCATCTGCTCGATCTTCCCTCACTCGGGAGATCTCTGATTACGATTCTATGTTAGTTATAGATTACAATTCTATATAAAGTAATAGTAATCTTCTTTCCGTTGACTAACGCCATCATTTGAAAACTGAGTTCATACTTGATCATTTTCGATTGATGCATTGTTAATATCCAATAGAATATTGAATATAAACCAACCAAGTAATATATGCATTTGATTCATTGTAAAATATATGAAACTTCTACATCTTTTTTTTAGATGGAAAACGATTTTATTGAAGAACCTACTTTAATTGATGATGATGATGCAGAAGAAGAAGTAGAAAACTTCTATTCAATATTAAACATTCAAATTTAATTTTTTTTTCTTTTTCTAGCAATCACATAGTCAAATAAAGAAACATAAACATGATAAATTAATTGATTCAATTGTTCATTTAGATGGTAAAAAACGGTAAGATTATATAGTTTATTTTTTTCTTCTTTCTTTCATAACAAACAAACAAACAAACATTAATCATTTTAAATAGAAAAGTAACTATTCGTAAAGAACCAATTAGTATTCCAAATAATCTTATTGTATCAACACAAACATGTAAGTTATACTAAATAAATATTATTTTTTTTCATTAAATTAATTTTTATCAATTAATTAGCAACATCATCAAAAAAGATTAAAAGTCATCAATTATTATCGAGTTTAAAAAAGACTTCATCATTACAAATACAA